AAACTATACCAGAAATACGAACAAGCAGTAAAAGAATTTCGATAGGCAATTAAGATTATTTGTTAACTACCGGCGCCCAATCAGTTTAATAGCGCCGCTAACAAATCAATTAATTACTGCCAACGGTGCGTTTCTATCGAAACCAATGGAAATATCTACGTCTTATTACAATCACTTAAATTAATCAATAAGTTGAAAATAGGCATTCATTTCATTTTATTTAATACAAGCTGTTGCTCGCGACTACACCCGTATGAAATTAAAAAAAGCCTATGTTACTCTCAGATAAATTACCTTTCTAACAGTGAAAGAATTTTTAAAATCGGCCTAGTAGTTTTTGAGTTATTACAGTAAATACAAAAATACAAATCTTTTCTGTTACAACATTAGTATAGAAATAAAGAATACATATTACAATCAATAAAACAAACCTATCCTTCTATTAATTTTCATTACTATGTTTATAGTGATAGATCTCAATATTGATTGATTAGTCTGACCACAACGAAAGCCACAGTACAGTGGTTGCCAGTACGACCACCCGCGCACTCCGCTGCTAAATAAAAACCCATGTCATCGCAGTGAAGGGAGCAACTTTCTTTCTCTTCAAAACCAAATATAGGCAATGACTCATAAAATCTACTACTTACTCAACGATATAATTTCACACATGGTCTGCTCATCCTCATAATAAATCAGTAGTTTTAAATACATTATTTTGTTTTATTTAATAGTATGGTGTTACTTAATAGTGGCTTAGATATGTACTAATTGCTATGCATATTTTAGTAAACACAAAATGAATATCTTGCTTTAAAGATTTTGTCACGTTGAAAAATTCACCACTCGCTTACAAAATATTCTTAAACACCAATTACTTTTATTAACGCCGTTAACAAAAACCACAGACAGCAAGTTAGCGAAGCAAAGCGCGATTCGATCAGTGAACTCTTCGGTCATGAATAAACAAAGGCCTTTGAAATAAAACAGAAGACAGGAAAGAACAATCGATAGAGCGGGATGCGTGAGCCCCAGCCTTGCCGCTATTGATTTCATGCCTTGTCAATCTAATCCGAGAATGCTGCCAAAAGGATTCGATTAAAGTTAGCCTATTTATTTATGCATTGGAAAGAAAAACGTGAACAAGCCCCAATGTTGGGAGTTTGAAAAGTCGCTTTCAAAAGTTTTACTTCGTGATGAGTTTTTTTCGTAGAGTTTTACTAGTAGTCTATTGGGTGATAAAAGTTTTTCAACAATTTTCCGGTTAATGTGAATTCTGATATTTAGATAAAACTGTATAGCTGTCAGGTCATTTTCAAAGCTTCTAAAAGTAAATATCCATTTTCTTTGGATTGCACATCATCACTCTTTAAATTTACATTATATTTTATGTTTTTCCCACGATACACTTTTTTTTTTAAATCATCTGTTACCGTTAGATACAATTCCGAATATCGAAATTTTAAGAAAAATAAACAAATAATTCTTAACCTGAAATTGTAGGGTGATAGAGATTACCCTTGCGATATAAAATATACGGGAAACTTTGTTACTTAATCGGGACATGCTCAAAGAGATTCGGGACTTGTTCCCGGTAATACTGGTCCCCCGTTTAGAGGGGCTGTGTTGAATTAAGATAACGTACCTTTCTGTGGGGTCGAATTCTATCTGGGGCAGATACTACTCAAATATTGAAACTAAATAGAATGGTTGAAATTATTCTCTGAAGCTGTCAATATGTGTAGTAACCCAAGAAACAGAATTTTTACAAGGCCTACCTAGAAAAGGAATGCATGACGAACTGGTCACAAACAAGACTTTGCCAGTATCGTTTTAAAATGGTTTAGTCTGTTTTATTAAACTCAATCGCCATATTCAAAAGCAAGTACCAGTTAGTAATTTACAACATTTCGATTATAATCTTGATATGAAATTAAATTAACATCGTGTATACCATGGGGAGTTCAAACGCGTCCGTTTAATCTGCTTTGGACGCTTCGAACTGGTTTTCCTTTACCTCTTAATCCTATTCTATGCTTTATTTATAAAATAAATTTAAGTGCTTATATCAAACGCTATACAAAGCAAATACCCTTTTAACATGCAGTCCTGTGTGCTCACATTTAAATCTGAGGGACAATTATTTTGACCGTTACAGTTAAAATTATTTTTAAAACATAATTTTTAAGTAGAAATGCGACACAAATTGGGTTTCAGCGACGACTTATCGGTACAAATACAGTCTTAATTTACTTCTAACTAAAAACTAGACCATTAATAATACGTATTAATTAAAGTACTACTGTAAATTCGTGTCGCGATGTCTTTGAAGTTGAACTTACAGACCTCTGTTATCTAATTAGCATACTATTATTAGCAATGTCATCTATATTGTTACTCGTTCTTTACTTCAAAGATTAATTGTTCATTAATATGCACTATAACCATACAACTCAGTTTTAAATGAGCATTTTTCCTTCTTTTTCTCCTAAAGGAAATTTAGGTGTTCAATAATTTCGCAACTCAACGATATCCACGTACCAGGCGATCATAAAACGTATGTGATTACAGGTTCAATGCGAACAGAACGGACTCGGCACAGTGCGTCGGAAGCGACGGTGCGTGACGTCGCTGCGTTCCTTGCACCCGTCGTCATGGTAACACGGATTTCTAAGCCTGATATCAATACATTTACTGTAGGGCTGTACGTCTAACTAACATCTAACTTTTATATAATTAACAAAGATTGACCTGTGATTAGAAGCGTAGCGCAAATTTATATTAAGAATAATATCTTGTTTGAATTAAAAATAATTTAGTATTTAGGAGTATGTACGTGATTGTACCTATCTATTAACGACAATCATGACATCAAAAAGCACAGGACCGCTATCCCACGGGTATTGTCAATTCATCGTTTGTCGTAGATGGTGCTCATATAAATTTGCATTTCCGCTCATTGGAGGCGCGACGTTGCGCCGGCGACTGTCCACCGCCTACATTACCGCAAAGAACGCATGATTGTATTATAATTAGCTAAAACACACCTTGTTCCAAAGTATTAAAGTCGAGATTGCTACCAGGAATCGATTGCATTAGTTTTTTTAGGGTAGGAGCATGAAGTTTTTGTGAATTTTTATTCGCTTCCAGGAAGTCAGAACTGCCTAAGCGATTTATTTTTTCTTGCACATTAAAATTTAAATCGAGTTATTATTAAGTCAAGCGGATTTGTAATGTTCCGCCTTTTAATCGCGACATCCTGAATCGAATTTATTTCATGTCACATCTGCACTTATACAAGTTAGCGTAGAAAATTATTTTAGAACAATCGCTTTAAATGACTAGAATTGACGTTTTAAGTAATTTTTGACTACTATTTTTATATGTATATATAGAAAATATTAGTTGTATTTTGTTAAATTACTATTATTTCTTTTAACCATTCCAACTAAGCTCAAGGCTTGTGCTAGGATATGGTTCACGGCAATAGTCGTAAGGGATTCTAACCCTCGACCGCAAGATCGGTAGTCCGTACCCGAAACCATTAGGCTATTGGCGTTATATACAAAAGAAAGTGTAACATTCAAGCCCAGTATATCCTAAACTTAATACGAAAGCGTTCAATGTAATTTATGCTCGTAATTACATAATATGAGGTTGTAGATGGGATATAATTAACAAATTATACGTAATTGCAACCAATAGGTTAAGTTATTAAATTATATTATTAATGGAGATGCAATAATTTCTTTAATCAGAGAATTTAGAACAATATATCATTTGTAACTAGATTAAGTTTGAGGTTAGAGGTACAAAGGGATATTCCACAATTCGAGTTTCAACTAACCGTAGTTTTCTACGCTGAGACACTTGAACAAAACATCTATCATCCTTCTTATTCTACTATAAAGACTGAGATAGCAATATAATTGTAAAGCTAAGATATCTCTTATAGAGAAAATTGAATCGAATCGAAGTCCAAGTCGTTTCGCAATTCGGATAGTTTAGTGCTACTAGCTGATGTGAATATTAAAGTGGCCGTAACATGTAACGGTTTGGTTATAGCTTCCAATAAGATAGGCTAAACGTTTATAGCGATGTTCCTCATAATCGTTTAGTGAATATTAAACCGTTTATTGATAAATCAATTATCCACAAAAGCATTAAGAAATCCACTTCCGGATAAGGCAATTTCTAAAACCAACATTTGGACAATAAGCAATACAAATAATAAATGTAAGAGGGCGAAGTTTCTTCAAGTATAATATATTTTTGTCCGTAAACGCATTTTGCCGTATTTGATCCCGGAACCACATTTCTTATCGTGAAGATAACGATTTCTTAGAAGAGGAGTAGGTAGAGGAAAAAGATTTATATTTAGTTGTACGAGAAAAAGACTACAGTATAGTTAAGACGTACCTTTAAACTTTTGGAGTTAGGTTCGGAAATATTCAAAGCTTTAATTATAATTGTAAAAACTACGCTCATATTTCTAGAAATAGACTAAGACAAGACGTATTACTGTACCATGAAATAAAATATTAAAACGTTATTCTAAAAGAAAAAAAAAACAGAAGAAAAAATGTTTGAATAATCTATGCGAGTAAGTATTTCTGAACAGAAAATCTTCAAATAACTTTTATGAGATTGACGGTCCATACCTCGAATCAACCCCAGAGCAACGCCTCCCTCGAAATATATGAAATGGGGCACTTTACAATAGATGGATTTTATAAGGGTTGCGAATCAATAAGCCGACCTTACATATTACAACCGCCATAAACTTAATGTTTGCCATACATTTTACAACACAATTAAACGAAATTTATTTCGAAACTTGAATCACAATTTAAATCACTGATGGATACTAAATTAATTAATTAAAACATTTTCTTAACAGACACAATTCAAATAAGAAAAAAAAGTCATCATTTGCAACAATGTCAAGGCAAAAAAAAATCTTCCAGCGAAGTCGCGTATCGTTATCAAATATCTCTTACCTTGAGATTGTGCGATGAAATCAGCAAAATGTCACAGTTTATATTAAAGCCAAGCACTATGTCACTACACAAAATTTGGATACTGAGGCCATTCACACAGCGTCACTTTGTTCACGAACAATCTGGTAAGAGAGAAGACACGACCGTTACCCACGACGCGCGGCACGCTACTGCACTTCAGTTCTCTACGCCCTCTACCTCCCCCCGCGGACACTATTGCCCCAGAGATCAGCTGGCAGCCCTTATTACCATTATTATGTTATGCCCATAGATTGAATCTACTGCCAGGCTTGTTTAACGAATGAGACAATAACGAGTTTATTTAGTTATATCTATACTAATATAATAAAGCTTACCATAAACACAGACAGTTTCGTGGTGTAGGATGTCAGCAATCACAGCGTATTTTAAAAATATTTTCTCTAATAAAAAGCCGTACACTTACGACGCACTTTAGGCAACATATTTTCACGCCATTGAAATTATTGGGTAAATTGATTGGAAAAAACCTTCATATGGGTAAGGGAACAAAAACTATAAGCTGCCAACATAAAGGTAGCAAGGTTATTATGGTAACGGTAATTTTGATAATTGAGAATTTAATAAACGTAAACAATAAAATCAAGTTTTTATAATTTCATGCGCATGAAGCCGCACGGGAACAGCTAGTTGAATTATAAATCTTAATAGATTCTGTCTTAACTGTTAGAAATAGATAAGATTGCAATTACCGTTTCTTAAGAGAATTTTGAACTAAGAGGTCACAAGACAATGACCATTTAGTACGTAAGCCTCGTTTACCAAAAACACGTTGTAATGTCCTCATATTTACACGATTGATGTAAAAAATGACGGTAAAACGAAACATTCCTCGTTTAATCCGAGCATTTTTGTAATGCCATCAATCAGTGACAACCGACGGAACCTAAATTTGGACCTCGACATAAAAATGTATTCGATGTCGTTACTTTCATTTATATTCGTTCTTCGGAACACAATCGGTTCAGTCTGGAGATAAATTTAAATAGAAAATGGATTCCATTAAGTATTAAGCGAAAATGTGAATAAATCGATTTTAATTACAAGATATCAGTCTTTGCAGATATGGACAAAACTTAAAAGATTGTAAGTCTCGATTCTACCTTTTAATTGAACGATATAAATTTATAAAGAATAAAAGCTAACCTCCGATATGCATGTAGTTTTAATTCCACGAAAAGACATCAGTAAAAAAGACACACATAGAGCAAAGTAATAAACTAAAAGCTCAAATAAAGTTGTAAAACTGATGATATCCTTCCTTATTTATTATTTATGCTTTCGCAGAAACTTTTCCATAAAGAGCAATGTTACGAACACAATTGTCACAAAGCACGTCAAGGTGGAGTTTGATTTATGTAGCGGTGTTCTTTGAGGAGTTTTAAAAAGGAATGGAACGGTGCGATAAGTCACGCGAACGAGCCAAAATTACAACTAATTTCTGCTTCTTTCAAATACATTTAATTCGTATTCAAATAATACAATTTTGTATTTGTTCATGAACCAATAACTAGTGCATAGAAGCATAGATTGTAGTCGAAATTATGAAAAGTGTAGCGAGATCTTTTGGAGTTTGGTCAGCATATTATTCAATTGTCCTAAATCCTTTAAACTAAGCCTAAATAGACGTCATAGAGAAAACGTCTAATAATTTATTTGTGTATAAAACAAAAACGTCACCAATCACAGAGTAATCTCCGAGTAGTACAAAGGTAGCGACACATAAAAGGTAATATATTCAACGGGTGGTGATTACACCGTGTAACAAACTGCCCTGTGACGGAACGCCGGTGAAATTGGCCGGCCGCGCCGCTCCGCCGCTACCGCCGAGCTTTTCATTATCAACTTGGAAATTTAGGGCGAGAGCAAACAGGAGGGACGGGAAACGAGGAAATTACACCCTGACGTTTTTATATTGCAAAATGTAGCTATGTATGAGATTGACATTAGTATGATATTCATTAAAACTTCATATTTAAGACTATTATTCAATAGGTTTCGTCCGCGGGGAATTAAAAAAAAAAAACAAAAATAAGTAAGTCTATGTGTTCTTCCACACCATCCTCTACGTCTAGGCCAAATTTCATCGAGATCCGTTGAGCCGTTTAGGCTACAAACTCTAACAAACATCCATCAATCTAAACTTTCGCATTTATAATATTGGTAAGAAGTAAGATGTATTTACATAAACATTGCCGTGCGAATATTGTTGGTTCGTAGTGTAATTTATAAAAGTTGTGAAACAATATTAATAGTTTATAATAGTTTGGTGACAAACATACGAACGGTGACGCATAATACATGTTAAAGTAAGCACTGACGTAAGTCTCTAAGTGTAAACACTCCTTTATGGATACAAGATCATTTTTTTTACTAAATATGACATCACAAAAGACAAAAACAGCGTATAAAAGATAACCATTTAAATAATATTTAAGGTCATTATTTTATTAAAAGCAACTAAACCCTTTACTAACATACTATTAATGGCAAGAACAACTGCAAAAAAATACATCTTCATCAACCTGCCCTTTTCCCTACGGAGTATCATCTAATCGTCCATACATCTCTATCAGCTGCCCTCAATTCGCTCTCTTATGCATATAATTTTTCATACAATCTTACTCATATTAAATGTTTGTTAGAGTTTGTAGCCTAAACGGCTGAACGAAGCTGGACGAAATTTGACATATGTAGATGTAGAGTGTAGTCTGGAAAAACACATTGGCTACTTTCTTTTATTTTTTTATTCCACGCGGTCGAAAGCTAATTCATGCATATTTTCTTAATTATTCTACTTTATTGTATTTGTTTGAAACTAATTATGACAGAAGTTTGTTATGGCAAAAAGAAGAGTCTTAAATATAAGTTCTAAAATAGTACATTTTTCATGATATCAAAGATTTGTCACGAGAGGTTAGCAGCTACATTTACTAAATTCAAATTCCCGTTAGGACAAATCAAATCGAAATCGTTTTTGATACGTTAACTGCCATTGCCAATATAAAAATCAAATAAAACTATTCCAGTGTCAATAAAATGAAAACTTTATCATCAATGTTAAATGGATTACACAGATTTTTATTTTCATTGCTCAAAAATGTCCGAATTATTTACGTTAATCTTTTGCCTTTTACTATTTCTGCTTTTTTATTAGAATAACGTATTTATAGCAATCATACTAATCATACTAATACTAATATTATAAATGCGAAAGTTTAGATGGATGGATGATTGTTAGAGTTTGGAGCCTAAACGGCTGAAGGGATCTCGATGAAATTTGGCATAGATGTAGAGGATAGTCTAGAAGAACACATAAGCTACTTGCTATTGTTTTTTTTTATTCCGCGCGGACGGAGTCGCGGGCAAAAGCTAGCAATTTATAATTTTTCGAATTTGATTAACAAAATTAAATAAGTATGCTTATTACCTTATTGAATATCTTATCAACCGTCTTTGTAAAAGTATGTAGTACGATTTATAAAATTAGTTAAAACCAAATAAATGAGTTGGATCAATAGTAGCATATTTTGAGTGCATTATTAACCAGAATTTCAATAGCGGATCTTGTATATTGAATAGAAGGGCGCAACAGGTCGTAAACTGCGGTCACAACTGTAATTACATCGCATTGTTTTACTAATACGTAATCTAATAGCTTTCGGTTCGCAGACGCGCAACGCACGTTGCATACTTCCCCGTCTGTTTGTATTATCTAGGGATATAGCTTGCTATCAATATGAGCTCATACGTTATAAATAGTATTAACTATCATACTGATATTATAAATGCAAAAGTTTCGATGGATAGATGTTTGTTACTAGGAATCTTCAAAACATCTTTAAGTTGCTCGATTAAATTTGACAAAGGCTTAGGTCACAGTTTGGACAAATAGACTATTTACGATTTTTATCATTGATGTAGTTACGGGTAAAAGCTTTACATTTTTAATGTGGTTTCAAACGGAAGCGATTCTTATTCGAAGACATAATTTGATACCAACAGATATAATTGGTACTAGTTTAAAAATACGAAGGTATATTAATTTTTCTATCATACCGCATATTCAAATGTCATAATAATGTTTTAAATACCACATTAATTACATTTAATACATATTAGAAGACTTCGCAGTTTCATGTAGACATTAATCACACCTATGTAATAGTAAATTGCATAAAACACCTATAACCAACTATAATACCAATTCTATAGTTGGTTATAGCTGTTTTATGCAATCATCAAAGAAATGTTAAACAATGTAAATATACCAACGGTGTGTATAGTTATGTTTTGTAAATTAAAACGTCCACCAATTCGGGCTTTCATCTTTAGCTTCGTAAATAACGTTCACTTTGATGTGTCCCACAAAGTTTGCTGGAATAAGCAAAATGTTACGTTGATGCTTTCATTACATGCATTCTTATGTCTATTACTATCTAACCAGTTATATCCGAACTTCAAATTAAAGCTAAATAATAGACAACAGTTATCTACTATCAACAATCAATCTGTCTGATAAATTTTGCTGATATATGTTAACAATATTAAAATCGAATCAACATCTTTAAGTTTAATAAACTGCACTTACATGTAAAACCAATTTAATTAAATAACATTACTGTTTAAGTGTTCAAGAGCTTTTCACAACCAGACCCTTGCTAACTTTTAAAGACCTTTAATTTCGTATCGCAAATTTCGGGGTTATATTAAATGTTAGCCTAATGAGGCGATCACAAAGCTTTTCAAGCATTACATCGGTATTGAAAAGTAAAGTAAGCTTTATGACAATAGAAACTTTTTCCCTGGGGGCAGATCAATACTCGTGCGGGTCTGCGGGGACGCAGGCCGGTCGACCTTTACAAAATCCGAACAAACCCCACAACATAGTGCCCTCTCTTCCTGTACCAAATGTTCGACTCGCTAAAAAGTTGAAGAAAACAAAGAAAAAACACGACTTTTAATCACGCACGTATGTTTTTTTTTGTATTTTATAGGACGGCAGCCCAGAAGTTTTTCTGTAATTTACAAAAGTTGACTGTAGAGGTTTTGCGGTAGACATTGAGTTATATTTAAAATAAGAGAATTTAAGATAAAAATTGTCAAATTATTTAAAAAAATTGTTATTTAAAAACTCCAA